TATTCTCCCAGATATGGTATTGTTAATTCAACAGTTTTATTCATTTGACTCAATTTCCTTGTCTTTGTTGTTTGTTTGTTTTAGATATTTTAATCTCATGACCTTCGTCTGTTTTCTGTAGCATTTGGTAATATTTCACAAAAACGGCGCATAATCCTTTATTTGATTGTCAGGCTTATTCTTTGTTAATCCAACACTTCACCTCATTTGACTGTTATCCTTTCGTTTTTTATTACAACATTTCAGCTATTCTGATGTCAAGCCTTTCTCATTTGATCTACAGAATATTCTCTTGTTCTTGTACCTTTCATATCTAGCATTCTTTGTCCAGAATTTTTGAAATCAAGTCTCTCTTTTTTTTTTTTTTTTTTTTTTTTTTTGCTGAAGGTCACAGATCAATGATGCCAAAATGCATTGATAAAAGATGAGGAAACTGATTTAAATAAGTCCAAGACTAATATTTTTGTCTGTTCAGAGTGAATCTTGTTTTAAATAGAGGTGTTCAACTACAAAGACTTTGTATCTTGGGTCAAATGTATCGGATTAAATCTGGGACTAATATGTTTTTGTTCAGACAGAATCAAGTATTAAATGCCGAATGAGTTGCTCTACAAAATGTATGTTGAATAAAATGGGTCAAACTAATCCTGATGTCAAATGCACAAAGAGCTCAAAGATCAAATGATTGTATTTTGGATAAAATGTGTCTGACTGAATATGGGACTTATGTGTTCTTTTTTGTTTTGGTTGAACTTTGGATGAATAATTTGTTTCTTGGATTAATTGTCTCTGAATTTGGGACAAATTTAATAATTCTTTTGCTCAAACTGAGCCAGTATCAAATTCAGAAAGAGTTGATTGTTGAGCAAATAGTGTTTAACTGAAGCTAGGATAATGTTATATAGGTATAAAGTGTCGCTACTGACACTGGAATTGAACACAGATCACCAGAGAGCAAACACAAGTGATCCCATTTGAAATAAGTATATCACATGATAGTAAAGGAAATGTATATATGGGAATTAGCATGGTGTCTAATTGGCCACTCTTTCTACACGATACTATTCACTATACTATTTCTCTATACTGATCACTAGACATATTCCTTTTCAATGGTTACTTTTTGAACAAGTATTATCGAGCAAGTACTATTAATGCGAGTGTTAATCGAAGGCGTCTGACACCAGTATTGTTCAACAACATTACTATAGTTGTATCTGCAATTACAAAGACTCTACAACAACAATCATTACAAAAGTGACAACAAGTATTCCTTGACATTACAAAAGGACACATGGCACAGTGGATAAAGGCATTAATTAGATCCTGTGACAGGACCCAAAGAGTGTGAGTTCAATACCTGGTTAATGTGGTGGAGAACTTAGAGAGGGGAATCAACAGGAGATAACTGACATCCATTACACATGGCACATGGAACTAGAACAGTCTACACCAGCGAGTGAAATAAAGGGTTCAGGTTGACATTCTAACCACCTGAAGAAGGCCAGAATGTACAACAGCTGAAACCTTGTGATAAATATGGCAACAAGGATGGGGATGATAGAACAATGTAAATAGTGTACATAATACCACGTCTCAGAAATATGGACAGATACAAAAGATAAATTTCAGAAAGATTTGATTGTTGAATACTTTGTATCTTGGATCGTCTTTGACTGAATCTGAGACTAATTTTAGTAATTCTTTTGCTGAAACTAAAGCTAGTATCAAATTCAGAAATGAGTTGATTGACTCCAAGGTAAAATATCAACGTTTATCCAATACCACTTCACCTTAAGTGTTTATTCTATAATAAACAGTTTTTATTAAGTCATCCTCTTCACTTTGTATTCTTTTAAGCTTATGTTTTATAAGACACTAATAGATTCTCCAAAGAAACTCTCATCAGTTATTTGTTTTGGGAATTATATTCGGACGTACTATTTATTTATTATTGGCATCAGTACCTGAAATACAAATATTTCACTTTGATTTACAATAGAAACTAGATTACTATTCTACTTGTTCCTTTATTAGTATGTACGTTACACCATGATGGATGAGAATTAGAAATCAGAGAATAAGATTCAAATTTTAGTTGAGTTTGTTACATGCATGTGGTTTAAAAAATTAAAATTAAAAAAATTCTATTGTAATTGTCATCCTTCCTTACTCTTAAATCTCCTTCTTCCTCTCACACAACCTTACTCATATGAAATGAAGAAAACTCATTTTTCCTCTTCCTTCATTCAAGCTATATTTTTTCCTCTTCATTCAAACTACAATTTTTTTTCCTCTTTCATTCAGACTACAATTTTTTTTTCCACTTTCATTCAGACTACAATTTTTTTTCCCCCTCTTCTTTGATTCAAACTACAATTTTTTTTTCCCCTCTTCTTTGATTCAAACTACAATTTTTTTTTTCCCTCTTCTTTGATTCAAACTACAATTTTTTTTTTCTCCTTTCTTTGATTCAAACTACAATTTTTTTTCCTTCTTTGATTCAAACTTGATGATTTTTCCCCTCTTCTTTGATTCAAACTACAATTTTTTTTTTCCCTTGATTCAAACTACAATTTTTTTTTTTTCCCTTTCATTCAAACTACAATTTTTTTCTTCTTCTTTGATTCAAACTACAATTTTTTTTCCTCTTCTTGATTCAAACTACAATTTTTTTTTCCTTTTCTTTGATTCAAACTACAATTTTTTTTTTTCCCTCTTCTTTGATTCAAACTACAATTTTTTTTTTTCCTTTTCTTTGATTCAATTTTTTTTTTCCCTCTTCTTTGATTCAAACTACAATTTTTTTTCCCCTTCTTTGATTCAAACTACAATTTTTTTTTTTTTCCTCTTCTTTGATTCAAACTACAATTTTTTTCCCTTCTTTGATTCAAACTACAATTTTTTTTCCGCTCTTCTTGATTCAAACTACAATTTTTTTTCCCCTTCTTGATTCAAACTTTTTTTTTTCTTCTTGATTCAAAAACAATTTTTTTTTCCCTCTTCTTTGATTCAAACTACAATTTTTTTCTTTGATTCAAACTCTTCTTTTGATTCAAACTACAATTTTTTTTTTTTCTTTCTTTGATTCAAACTACAATTTTTTTTCCTCTTCTTTGATTCAAACTACAATTTTTTTTTCCCCTCTTCTTTGATTCAAACTACAATTTTTTTTCCCCCTCTTCTTTGATTCAAACTACAATTTTTTTTTCTTTGATTCAAACTTCAATTTTTTTTTCCCTTTTGATTCAAACTTCAATTTTTTTTTTTCCCTCTTCTTTGATCCCTCTTCTTTGATTCAAACTACAATTTTTTTCCCCCTCTTCTTTGATTCAAACTACAATTTTTTTTTTTCTCTTCTTTGATTCAAACTACAATTTTTTTCCCCCTCTTCTTTGATTCAAACTACAATTTTTTTTTCCCTTCTTTGATTCAAACTACAATTTTTTTTTCCCTCTTCTTTGATTCAAACTACAATTTTTTTTTTCCCCTCTTCTTTGATTCAAACTACAATTTTTTTTTCCCTCTTCTTTGATTCAAACTACAATTTTTTTTTCCCCTCTTCTTTGATTCAAACTACAATTTTTTTTTTCCTCTTCTTTGATTCAAACTACAATTTTTTTCCCCTCTTCTTTGATTCAAACTACAATTTTTTTTTTTTTTTTTCCTTTCTTTGATTCAAACTACAATTTTTTTTTTTTTCTCTTCTTTGATTCAAACTACAATTTTTTTTCCTCTTTGATTCAAACTACAATTTTTTTTTCCCCACTTCTTTGATTCAAACTACAATTTTTTTTTCCCTCTTCTTTGATTCAAACTACAATTTTTTTTTTTCCCTCTTCTTTCATTCAAACTACAATTTTTTTTTCTTCTTCTTTGATTGAAACTACAATTTTTTTTTTCCTTTTTGATTCAAACTTTGATTCAAACTACAATTTTTTTTTTTTCTTCTTTGATTCAAACTACAATTTTTTTCCTCTTCTTTGATTCAAACTTTTTTTTTTCCTCTTCTTTCATTCAAACTTCAATTTTTTTTTTTCTTCTTTGATTGAAACTACAATTTTTTTTTCCTCTTCTTTCATTCAAACTACAATTTACTTGCCTGCAAATACCCTTGTGAAATGTATGAGTATCTCTTCTTGACCCAGCTATGAGTAAATAACATGAAAGACTATAGCCTTGGTTGGAACCAGTCTAGTAGAAGGGAAACTAAATTCAAATCAGCCTGGATATGGTTAGACACAGTCAAGCTATCTTTTTTTTTTTTTTTAAAATCATTTCACCCCAATTAAGGCAATAAAACTACTCAGTTGCAAATGTTTACTGAGTGTGAGAGAATGAGAAAAAAAAAACATTAAGGAGAGATAATAAAAGAACAGGAATTAAGAAGGCAAATGTTAATGATTGACATTGCATTTAAACTTTTGAAGATCAAAGTTAACTGGGAAGTAAGAAGCCAGAAGGGTCTCACAAGTAAGAAGTGCAAGAGAAGAAACTGTTAGCATAGAACTTATGGTTACATCTAGCCATTTCAACAGTAAAATGACAAGATCTTGTTGCCAATCTAGTACTGCTCTTAAATTCATAATATGTAGGTACCAAAGAGCAAAGCTCATCTGAACAATTACCATGAAAATATTTATAGAAAAGGTATAGGGAAGTGACATTACAGTGATGGGGAAAGTTACTGAAGCCAAGATGCCATGTCAGGACCCACAAAATTACAGTAATTTTTTTTCATTTCCCTCCAAACAAGGTAATAAAACTGCTAAGGTGCAAGAGGTTACTGAGTGTAAGAGAATATGAGAAAATATTACTATTAAGGAGAGAGAACAATAAAACAACAGGTATTAAGATAATTTTTAAAGATCAAAGTTAATTGCGAAGTAGGAAGCCAGAAGAGTTTGAGATAAGACTCTTGTTTCCCAAATGGCACATACAATTTTGCAAAGAACCACTCAAATGTGTCTTTCAAGAGTAATCTCACAAATAGTTCTATCATGGTCTGGAAGCTGGCATACTTTAATTTGGTAATGGTGGAGGCAGTATTAGATGCAGAAGGTGTGACGACTCTGGTTGTCCATATTTGGAAGGCATACAATCAAAGAGTGAAATTAAAATTTAGTTTTTGAAATCTGAAATTGTCTCTGTTAACTTAGTTCTACAAGCACCCTAAAAGCTTGTTTGAATGTGGCTCCATGTTTTGATGAGTGAAATCAAAGTAGGCACCGCCACCCCCTACTTGAGTCTTAGGGGCATAAAATCAAAGAGTTGGCCCCGGGGCATCACCAAACCTCTGCACATTACTGTGCCCTCAACTTTATCATTTTTATGATGTTTCAGCTGTTGAACACTCCGCCCTTCTTCAGGTGATAAAGATGAGGACAACAGTCCAAATAATGTAAATGGTGTAAATAGTTACAATACCTCATCTCAGAAATATAGACAGATATTAGAGTAGGTTGTGCTAAGGATAGTTTCTCCCAATACCACAAGATGCTACAAGACGAAAACATTAACTTAGTCATGTTCTTAAATAGCCTCAACAGATTGAGACCTTCATATGGATAACATGCATGGCACCAGAAAGTTTCAGGAATATTGAAACTGTCAACCCATTCTGGGTAAGATGATAAACTGTCCAACAGCAAGCCCTCTGATCAGGAGGTTTTGAGGAGCATGGAACCACCATTTAATTGCTGGTATTCCCATGTCTACCTTAACCCGGGATGGTAGCACCTGTTAGGGTCCCAACTAGGTATTTACTCTGTCTCCAAACTAAGACGAGTTGTGACACAAGGTCTTTTTTTAAGGTGAGGAACCCAAGTGCATACACTCAGGCAAGGAACAAAAATTGTCTACAACTGATGGTTGTGCTAGCCTTGGTGTGAGCACCGATCCCTCTCTGTAGTGCAATGAGAGGGTGCAGCCTCGGGCAGCTTTTCCCCAGGGCTGGGTACCTCTCAGTATACTTTTTCTCAGTTGTGAATCTGTCCTTTGATGGAGTTCCCCCTGAGTGCACTCTGCCTAAAGACAGACGCGCAACTGAGAGATAAGTTATGCGTTGCAAACCCCTCAGGAGAGGAATTTACACAACTATGGGCAAATATTTAACTCCCAAACTGGGATCAAAACACTATGAAAGTGTAAAACATTATCTACATTATTCGGACTATTGTCCTCATCTTTGTCGCCATATTTATCACAACGTTTCAGCCGTTGTACACTCCGGCCTTCTTCAGGTGTACAACGTACAACAGCTGAAACGTTGTGATAAATATGGTGACAAAGATGAGGACAATAGTCCGAATAATGTAAATAATGTACGTAATACCTCATCTCATATACATAAATATGACAGACTCTGAAAGTGTAAAAATAGGTTTTAATACCTGCAATGAATTTTTG